CCATTTTTCATCAAGCATGTACACAACCTCAAGTCGGAATAATTTTCACAACTCCTTACTTGAAAAGCAGCTCACTTTTCATACTTTGTGGCTTTTTGAGCAGACTGGTACATTTCAGATGCATTCATATTTTCCTTCCTAAAACTTCTTTTAAAATAAACACTCAAAGGTTTCCTATATAAAGCTTGGATTCTATATGCAGAAATAAAACCGAAGTATGTCAAACTGATGAACTAGAGAACTTCAGTGAACATAACTGTTGGCCAACTACTTTCAATTAACATTGTAAGAAAATTTGCATTAAGCAAAAAAATAAGGTTTTTGAAGGGGGGAGCTGTGAATGAGCCTCTCCACCAAAACCAGAGGGTAAACATTAGAATGTTTCAAGGGAAACTCTCATCAATAAGAACAAAAATCATTCAGATATCCCTAACTCACGATAGTTCTGTCTTGGAATATTTATGCAGCATAAACATGTAGCAGCACTTCAAGTTGCAATAGAGAAAAATATTTTCTTTACGTGTGTTTATTTCCTGCACAGCAGGACTCCTTTCCAGTGTTTTGTCATTCTACAGTGAAACCCAGAAAGCCGCTGAGCCGCTTGGGGTGGGCATTTAACCAAGTGCCAGCAACTCACCTGTTTAAATAGACTCGACCGACGTCAAACTGAGAGCGCCGCTTTAAAACAAAGAGAAACAAACTCGAAAACCCCGCGGCTGCAACCAATTCTACAACGCACAGACTTCCTATGTTGCTGAAAACTGTGATGTTTCTTCTCAAAAGGCGTTAGCCTCCTTCGGTCCTGTCACCGCCTCCAGAAGCTACGCCACCCTACGCAGGAACAACCCGAAGGGAGTACACGGCGTACAGGCGCGGCACTTCCACTGCTGCGGGCATCAGGCCTTCTCACCACCGCCCGACACGACACCCAACTCCTATCAGCGTTGAAACAAACACACGCGCCGTTTCACCCATGTCTCTTAGCCTTTTGGTGCGTCAAAAATCGGGCTTGGGCACCGCCGCGCTCTTCGCACCGGCTCTACCGAAACTTCGGCATGCCCAACGCCAAGGGATCCGCGCTTGACCTGCCCCCCACCCCCACCCCCTTACTGCCTGCGCTG